GGAGCAGGAGCAGGAGGAGGAGGAGGAGGAGGAGGAGGAGGAGGAGGAGGAGTTCGGAGCGGAGGAGGCAAAAGCGGCGGTCCTTTGGGATTTTGGCGGTGGCTGCCTTCTGCGGGCCACTGGCGGGCCCTGGACTGCCATCGACGGCCTTCGCAGGCCCTCGGCGGGCCATCGACGGCCTCTGGCGGGCCACGGGCGGGCCACCAGCCAGCCCTCGGCGGGCCCTCCTCGGGCCCTCGGCGGGCCCTCTGCGGGCCCTCGGCGGCCGCCTGGTCGAAGATCGGAGGAGAAAAAGGTCGCCACCTACGTGCTGCTCGCGTCGTCGTCGTCGTCGTCGTCGTCGTCGTCGTCGTCGTCGTCGTCGTCGTCGTCGTCGTCGTTGTCGTCTAGGCTCGTCGCTCGTCGCCCGTCGCTCGTCGCTCGTCGCCCATCGTCGTCGTGCGCGCGGGCGCGGCTGTGGTGCCGGAGCCACGCGGCGGGGGGGGCGGCGTTACATTATACCCCCCACGTTCCCCCCCCCGATAATGCCCATTATCGCCACAAATACAGAAAAGAGCTCTGCTCGCTACCCTTGCCTCGCTTTCCCCTTTCTTTTGGGCCTTCTGGGATGCCCTCGTCGCCACCGCCAGATTCGTTTCGAAACTGTCTGGTCAGAACGCACCGCACCCCAGGAGAGGTCGTGGGAGCAGCGGGATCGGTACCTTTTGGTTTTCCCAGAAGAGAAGATTCGGGCGTCGCGGGCAGAATAAGGATGAGAACGAGGGCGGGAAACAGGAAGACTGGGCGGAGCAGGCAGGGGCGATGGGGGAGGGGGAGGAGGGGGAGGAGGGGCAGAATAGGGATCGTCACAGGGCCCGCGGTAGTTCGTCTGTTGATGCTTATGGGGGGATCAGGCCCAGAGAGAGCCCAGAATGAATCAACGATGCTGCAAAGCACCCCGTCCCAAGTCCCCTCCCGATAAGTCCCTGCAGGCCTGCCCTTCCACTTCGAGAGGCCCCCCCTCGACAGAGCAGCACCCCTCATGGGGGTCATTTCGGCGAGAGCCCCGTGTTGAAAAGGAACCGACGGCCTTGCATCCTTTCATCTTCCCAGCGAACATTAAGTCACGGAGACCAAAAGAACCCCTAACCCTAATAACACAATGAAGACGTGCCCCGTTTTGAACAGGGCGCGTCCGACTCGATTCGATTTCGACTGTGCCGATGATGCCCAGTCCGACGCTCATTCCGATCTGACCCGATTTCTCGATTCGATGCTGATTGATCCTGCCCTCCCGCGACGCGCAGTATCTGAGAAGAGGACCACGACCTGCGCGACTTGCAGCTGCACATGGTTGCGCCCTCCGTCAGGCTGATGTTTTAAGCTGTGCTTCCTTAGAAAGGGGGTTGGCCCAAGCACCTGGTTTGCCGACTTTTCCCTGCGACATGTTCGAGGTGGTCCCGCGGAATTTCCTTCGACAACTTACAGGGTGTTGGTCACATGTTGATTGAAAAAAGCAGGCCCCGTGGGTGCCCAGTCCCCCCCCCACACCGGGTCTTTGACAAGTAATGGGAACCAGAGGTGTAGAGTTCGCGCTTGCGGAGGTACCCCCGCGTACAATCCAAAGTGAATCTACATTTGTGGAGCCCCCCTCGCGTAGAATCCCAGGGAAGGTTGCGCTTGCGGCCGCCCCTCGCGTAGAATCTTGGACGAATTCATGCTTGCGGAGGCCTTCCCCCGCAGGGAACACCGAGGAACTTCGCGCCCGCACGGGCCCACTCGAGCGTCTCGCTGCCTGCTCTGCGGGACGCAGCGGTTATAGCATGTCTTCTGCCCTGGCGATCGGAGCAGATTGCCGAAGCCATGCATCCATATCAAGCCCTTTCGGCCCAGGGCAAACGCTGAGACCCATGCGGCGCCCCCGCGAGCGACGGGCGGGCTCCGTGCTCGTCTGACGGCGACCCCCGGCCCGCGAGGTACTCGTGGCCCGAGCTTCCACTGGCGCCTCCACGGGCGGCAGGCGGCTTCCTTTCCGGACTTTTGTCGGCACCGGCGCGGGTCGGGCGCAGCTGCGCACCGGCGCCCTCGAGGCCCAGAAGGCCGTGCGCCTGGTGAAGGGGTGGCAGTGGAGAGTCGGGCCCCGACGCCGCAGAAGTCATCAGCATGCCACCACCATTGTCAGGAGGGGGAAAAACACACAGACACAATTAAGCCTCGACTCCCCGGAAAATATGGGAAAATATGGGAAGTGGGGGGGAAGACAAAGACCCAGAAAATATGGAAAAATATGGGCATAATTTTATTTGTGTGCATTTATTCGTGTGTCCTTGGGCCCCTTGACATTGGCCGTGGGCGCTGTGCCACGACCATCGCACGCCGGCCGCCTGCCGTGCCGGCCCCCTCGCCCCGCTCCAGGACGCGGGCGCGTGGCCCCTGCGGGAGCCTCGAGGGCGAGGGGGGGCGCGTCACGGGAGGGCACTGTCACGGAAGGGGGCGGTGAGGCCGCTTCCTCCTCCTCCTCCTCCTCCTCCTCCTCCTCCTCCTCCTCCTCCTCCTCCTCCTCCTCCTCCTCCTCCTCCTCCTCCTCCTCGGGGCTCCAGAGACGAGGGTCCGTGCAGCCCGAGGGGCAGCGAGAGCGCCAGGTTCTGCAGCATCCTGCAGCGCCAGGGTCGCATTGGCTCGGGTTATTGGGGGGTGCAGGATCCCGCAGGAGCTTGCAGGATCCTGCAGGATCCTGCAGAGCCCGACTGACCCGTGTCTGGATGGACCCGGCTCCGTAGACTGGTGGCGGTGTGCAGATGCCTCCTGCCGAAGGGGAATCGGCACAAGCAGAAGTTGTCGGAGGCCGCGCGGACCTCCGAACGTGTATGCTTATGCAGATTCCTCTTCTCCTGCTGTTCTGCGCATCCACGAGCTTCCGCCCAATGCCGACCTCGTGGGGGAGCCCGCCGCGCAGCCTCGGGGCGGCGCTTGCGGCGGGGCTCGCGGCAAGCGCGGTGGGGGCGAGGGCCGGTGCTGGGCTCCTGCCGGAGGGCAACGCCCTCGACGCTTGGCGCCGCGAGCCAGGCAGATTCTTGGCGGACTGGCACGAGGTGAGGTGCCCGCTGCCCCCGTGCGTGAGGAACAACAGGTCGTACCCCATGGAGCCCATCCGAAGAGGCACACGGCGGCACGAGCGTACCTTTTTGGAGGCTCGGGCGGATTTCTTGGGTCAGCGCCTTGCCCGCTGGCAGCGCCTCCAGCGCCGCCCCTGGCGCGCTGCGGGCGCCCAGGAGAGGGGTCCGGCGCGGAGCCGAGAAGTCCGCGCAGACCTTCGGAAGCTTATGATGATGTAGTTGCTGTCTTCTTCGGCCCATGGACATCTTGCCCTACAGCGTCTGGGAGAACGGGGAGGTAGTGATTCCGGGCAGCGTTGGGCCGCCGATGGACCACCTGATGGACCTCTTGTACCCCTTCGATCTCGAGAAGCTCTACGTTGGCAGCGTGGGGACTGCTCTGGCGCGCCAGCTCTGGTGGCTGAGCTACGCGGCCTCCGCCGCCTACCTGGTCATGCTGTGGGCGGGCCAGGCGTGGATGAAAGGGAGGGGCGCGTTCGACTTGAAGGGGCCCCTCGCTGCCTGGAACCTTCTCCTGGCGGTCTTCTCCGTCTGCGGCGCGCTGCGGATGGTGCCGCAGCTCATCCTGCTGCTGTGGCTGCACGGCGTGCAGTACTCGGTGTGCCGCACGGCATACTACACGGTCGGCAACGGCGCCTGTGGGCTCTGGATGGTGCTCTTCGTGTGGTCGAAGTACGTCGAGTTGATTGATACACGCCGCTCCGCGGGCCACGCCGGCCATCCGGGACCCGTGTTGGAATCCTTTTGCGTTCTCGTTTGCAGCTCCGAGGCACTCAGGGAGACACCGTGAGCCGAACAGCAGCGTGGGAGTCCAAACTTACGATCATCCAAACTTTCTGTTCCACATGCTTGGACCGTCAGATGGTCTTCTCCAGACATGTAGCCATCCGTGGACGCCCTGGATGCCCCCTGGGGCACTCTGTGGCCCTCTTTAGGTCATTTGCGAGTCTTGCGGATTATCTTGGTTGGGGCGCTCTTGTGCCATTTTTAGTCGTCTTTGGCCGTCTTGGGGACATTATCTTGGGTCCCTCCTGTGGGGCCCTCTTGCGCCTTTGGGGCCCTCTTGGGGGCCGTCTTGGGGGGATCTTGGGTTCTTTGCTGGCCTTCTTCGACAGCCTGAGGATCGAATGGCGAATATCTCAAGCATGATAAGATCCTGCCGGCTCCCTGCAGGCATTGTCATACATAGGAGCCCTTGGTTTGGGTTGAAGTGCCAGTACGGTCGCTGGACGTGGCGAGACCAATACATTTCGAGATATGATTTCCGCATATTTGGCTTCCCAAGGGGTTATGCCTCTCCGATGTTTGTTTTGAAGGCAATATCGATCGATGTTCGTGCCGCCGAACGTTGGGTTATGCCAATATGATTTGTTTGACCTAGACGTTTTTCTGAATACGCATATTGTCAAGCTTCTTTGTTTGACATTGATCTTTTGTCGAACGTGTGTATCCAGCAAGCCTCTCGCGGGCCCAGCGTACTGCTGGCCTCCAGTGCCCCCCCGAAGAGTCCCAAGAAGACGGCCTGAGCGTGCCCGAATACTTCAACTACAGTTGAGCGAGTTTTTTCCAAGTGGCTTACGCCTTTCCGCCGACCCCCAGCAGGAGTGAGATCTTCGGACCAATCCCTCACCGTGTGTGGGCAGTGACCAAAAAGCCTCTTGGATGTATTCGAGGGCCTCCTGGGATGCCTGGGGCCTCTTGCAGGGCTGCCGGAGGCATCTGGGGAGCTTCTTCGAGGCTCCTTGCGACCTCTCGGAGGCCTTTTTGGGGGGCCTCTCGGAGGCTTCTGTGGGCTTTTCGGTTGCGCCTCGGGCGGACTCCTCCGAGTCTTTTCGAGACTCCTGAGGGTATCCTGGGGCGCTCCAGGGGCTCTGTTAGGGCTTTTTGTCGGGGTTCTGGAAGTCATCTTGTGTGGAGATTTCCTGATGCCGCTTAGAGTTCTCCTCTTGTGCTCTTGGGGCTCTCTTGGGGGCCCAACGCTTTGGGGCCCTCTTGGGACGCCTTGGGGCCCTCTTGGTGGCTCCTTGGGGCCGCATGTGGGCGCTTCGGGGGCTTCTGAGAGGCTCATGGGCCCATCGTGGGGGGAAGGGCTCGGAATGTCAGCTCGTTATCCCCCACATCGGGCCCCTCGTAAAGTGCTCTTGGGGATCACTCGGGCCATCTAGAGGGATCCAAGACAGCCCAAGAGGCGTCCAAGATGACCCCAAGACAGCGCAAAGTAAACGCTTTCCTTTGGGAAAGGGACGGTTTTTGCCGCTTGGGGCTCTCTCGGCGGTCCTCTGGGAGTACTTTTGCGGCTGTTGTGATGGCCACGTGGACCGTCACGAAGCCATTTGGGATTATCTTGTGGCTGGTATCAGCCATCGCGACTCTATTTTGGGTGTCTTGGCGCCTCGTTTGGGTCATGCTGGGCTGTCTTGGGGCCCTGGCGAGGTCCTGGAGGCGCCGGAGATGAGTTTGGGAGCTCCAGCCCCCCCCCCTCCCCACTGCCACAGGGCCCCCCCTCGGCACCCGGCATCCCCTCCCTCGGATGCCATTCTGGGCCCCCTTGGGGAGGGGACAGCCGAACGTCTCCCACGCCGCTTCGCCCCCGGCCGGCGGGGGTCGGAGACGTACATTGCCGTTTTTCATACATGTTCCGCGTGCGGATCGTGTATTAAAAACGCAGGGATTTGGTATTCAAAGCAACGGCGAGTTCGTGCATCCATCCATACACGAATCCATCATGTATTTAAAACCCTATACTTTAAAACATCCTATGTGTCAAAAACTGCCCCGTATCGGGGGTGGACAGACCTCCTACTCTGACACTTCGATGGAGGAATTGGCCGTTTTCGGTTCGCGCGAGGGCGTCGCGGCCGTCACTTTTGCGGGCCCAGGCCCGTCGGTTTCGGTCCCAGGCCGTTCTCACCAAGGGGAGGTCTACTATCAGGAGGAGAAAAAACACACAGACACAATTAATCGTCGAGACCCAGGAAAATATAGAAAAATATGGGAAGTGGGGGGGAAGACGAAAACCCAGAAAATATGCGAAAATATGGGGAATCCTTTTATTTGTGTGTATTTATTTGTGTGTCCTGGGGTTCCTTCATACTAAAGGGAGGTTTGTCCACCGCCGACTGCAGGGGAACAGGCCCAAGTCTCCCGGAGGGCCACGCCCGGGCCTCGGATCGGCGGTCGGGGCCCCCGGGGGGCGGCGCCGCGCTCCGCGCGCCAGGGGGGAGGGGGATCCGGCGCCGGCCAGAGAAGCAGAATCTGCTTCTCTGGTCGGCGCCAAGATGGGAGGAGGAGGAGGAGGAGGAGGAGGAGGAGGAGGAGGAGGAGGAGGAGGAGGAGGAGGTCCGCGCCAATCTGAGATTGGCGCGGACCTCCCATCTTCTATGTTTTTTTGTTTTGTGCATGCGTGTTTTATGAACTATCATTTGCATGCTTGTATCATTTCGGTGGTTTGATGCTTCCCCCCATGTTTATGCTCATGCAGTGTTTGTGGTTTGTATGCTTGTTGTTTGGTTGATAGTTTTTCCGAATGAATCTATTTTGAACATGTTTATACCATTACTGGTTCCTCTGGTAATCGGCCGCAGGTTGGGTGCGTTTTCACAGGGCTTTGCCGCACAGGCCCCTCTCGATGGCAGGGTGCGGAGCTGACTCGCCGTGGGCGTCTTCGATACTCACCCTGCTGCGCCTTATTATCCTTCTGACCCTCGCCCTTCCCTCCTGACAATTTCTTCTCCTCCTCCCGCACTTGCACCGCGCCAATTCCTGCAGATTCCTCCTTCTCCCCCTCCCTCTTTGTCCATCTTTCTCCCCGCCCTGTCCCGATCGATCACAAGAAGGCGCCACAGGGATCCGCACATCCTTGCAGTTCGCCCACGAATCGAGGCATTCATTTGGCTGCTGCTTTCTTGCCATAATTTTGGGATCTCCCACCTTCCGGCATAAGGAACCCCGCGGCTGCCACATAACGCGTACGCGGGCACCAGCACTGCCCTGAGATGCCATCGCCATCACGCAGTTTTTGGGTGGTCATGGTACGGTCTCTTTTTCGAGCAATGCCGTGAGGAGGGGGAGGGGGAGGAGGAGGAGGAGGAGGAGGAGGAGGAGGAGGAGGAGGAGGAGGAGGAGGAGGAGGAGGAGGAGGAGGAGGAGAGAAGGGAGGAGGAGGAGGAGGAGGAGGGGAGGAGGAGGCGGAGGGAGGCGGCGGAGGAGGAGCGGAGGAGGAGGGAGGGAGGAGGGGGAGGAGGAGGAGGGAGGAGGAGGAGGGGGATGGGGGAGGGGGAGGGGGAAGGGGAGGGGAAGGGGGGGGAGGAGGAGGAGGAGGAGGAGGAGGAGGAGGGGGAGGAGGAGGAGGAGGAGGAGGAGGAGGAGGAGGAGGAGGAGGAGAGGAGGAGGAGGAGGAGGAGGAGGAGGAGGAGGAGGAGGAGGAGGAGGAGGAGGAGGAGGAGGAGGAGGAGGAGGAGGAGGAGGAGGACCAGTGTAAACCCAAGAGTCATCAACGATGTTGGAATAAACCCTTCCTCCAACCTCCCTCTTCATAGGTCTTACAACGCTTCATCTCCAACGGTTCATCTCCACTGAGGGAATTGCCTTGTTGGAAGAACCGTTTGAAGACCCTGAAACATGCCAAAGCATTGTTCTCGGGATGCCAACGCCACGGGTCAACCTGGCTGTTTGGTCGTGACGATCTTGAATCGTGCCAGAACGCCATTCTTGGGACTTCAACACCGCGAGCTAACGTAATTGTTGCACCGTCATAGTCCTGAATCCTTCAACACGCAATTTCGGGTACGCTGGTCATGGGAAGCAGTGAAACTCTTGCGAATTAAACAACGAATGGTCGCGTCGCTAAGGCGAGAGCCACGTTTTGAACATTAACCCCCCTCAGTTTGTGGAACTCTTGCAATCGTTCAAAAGTAATGTGCGCGGCGCTAAGGCGAGAGCCACATTTTGAAAACGACTCGCCCTCAATCCATGAAACCTTTTCAATTGTTTTACTCGAGTGTGCGCGGGGCCAAGGCGAGAGCCACATTTTGAAAACGACCCGCCCTCAACCCGTGAAGCTCTTGCAACTTGTCAAAACGAATGTGCGCGACGCGAAGGCGAGAGCCACATGTTGAAATCCACCCGCCCTCAATCCGTGAAACTCTTGCAACTTTTCAAAACGAATGTGCGCGGCGCTAAGGCGAGAGCCACGTTTCTAAAACCACCTGCCCTCCATTTGTGAAGCTGTTGCCACTTTTTAGCTTCAGGGCCATGAGTGGTGAGGAAGTCTCAGGCACAACGCCCGGCCCGCCCTAAAAACCGGCCTCAGGGTGCGACAGGGAGAAGCTGTTCATGAGGAAAAGGAATGGAGGAGGAGGAAAGGAGGATGAGGAGGAGGAGGCCCAGCTAGGACTTGAGTGGGCGCGAAGCGCGCGATGTTTCGAGGGTCCTCTTCTGTGGGGGGACTGGGCCCACCTGCGCTCCCAAGCTCGCTCCCCCCCCCCACCCCCTCTGGATCACTTGCAGTGGGGGCCCATGCCAAGAAGCACCCTGCTTGCCTCCAGGGTGCCCTGGGTGTCTTGGGTTTCGATGGTCTTGCCATGGAAGGCGCGACGTTCCCACACCAAACATCGATGGGCGTCCTGGGGTCTCAGGGTTGGGTTTCTTGTGGAAGGTTTCTTGTGGTCGGGCCTCCAATGTCAGGCACCTCCCACGCTGGTACCCCAAAAAGGTCGGCGAATACCCTTTTCCTGGTCCTCCGTAAGAAGAAGGTTGGCTTTCTCCACTGGTACCACCACTTCTCCGTGCTGCTGTACACTTGGCACGCGTTCGTCTGGGAGAGTCCCACTGGCATCTGGTTCGCGGCGATGAACTACACGGTGCACGCCATAATGTATTCGTATTACTTCTTGGCTGCCGTGTGTTCTCGCCCTCCACAATGGGCCCTTTTAGTTACGTGTATGCAGATATCGCAGATGTTCGTCGGAAGCGCAGTGGCCGCCGTCCATCTCCGGTCTTTGACCACTCACCAGGTACCCAATTGCGACGGCCATCTCCCCAACATCTTTGCAGCGATTGCGATGTATGCGTCGTATTTCTTGCTCTTTCTGGATTTTATGATCAAGAGGTTCTGTATGAAGCGACGCTCTCCCTCGCCACAAGCGAAGAAGACTGATTAA